TTATTGTTGTTATTGTTGCTGCTGTTATTGTTGTTTTTGCTGGTGTTTTACTGTTGTTGTTGCTACTATTTTTGCTGCTGTTGTCAAACACCAGTGTTTTCTCCAAGAATGATTCCTCGTTTTCCTTGTGTCGAGTAACACACAATATTTTCCATTTCAATGAGGTCAGTCTTAAGCCAGTTTTTCCCGCTTTTAATATTGACCTTTAAACTGGAATCATCAAGATATCGGTAATTAAACATGCTTAAGATTATTAAAAAACACCCGACCCTTCAACACATCAAATTTTCTTTGACCTTTTTGCTAGAGCTTTTTAATAAATTCTAAAGCCAGTAAAAAGTGCGCGTTTTTTAATCGCAACCCAGTAAAGTGTTCAGGCTATGAATGGAAAGCCTATAAAGTGCAGTAGAGTGCGTATTATTCGCCATGTTTTTGGTTCAAAACCCAGTCAAATGTTAGGAATACAAAGCTATAGTTTATGAATGGAATTTGAGCAGTAGCATGCACTGCAGTGATTGGTTATCCAACGCCCCAAAAAGAGTTAACGTTGATTTTGTTATTCAAATCGAAAGCTAATAAAGTTAGGTGTGGGGCTATAATCCAAAAGAAGTGACCCACGTAAATATTGATTGGCGGCGATAAGGCTATTTATTTTTGTTAGAATTAAATGCGGAAAGCCTATTTAACTGCTTTTGGGGGGGGGGGGGAGCCAACAATATGCACAATTGTCCCAAACCTCCCTAGCCTTGTGTTTATTTCACTAAAAGACATTTTAATGCAGTTGATAAAATTGTTATCGAGAATGTTTTGCTGCGGTTTCGTCAGAAATTATATTTTTTATATTCATTTCTTTGATATTCACAAATCAAGTTAAAGCCTTTGGTGTGATTTAATTTTAAGGGCCAAAACTGAAGTGTGAACCCATTAAATCGTCAACAGAAAACCATTCGAGTGCTAAGTCAAATATTTGTTTTTTTCGTTTTTATTTCAACTTTTTCCACTAATTTTGAATATACGTGCTAAATTTTGCCTAGTGAATGAGAGGAGCATCATTAGACGTCTAATGTAAGCGGTTGTGCTTTTCAAGTTTAAAAAAAAAAATTTCCTTATGTGTCAATTAATTACGAATTGCCAACGCTTACCTCTAGAATTCATTACATAACATATGGCAAACAAAAATGGATTTTAGGAAAATGTTTAGCCGTTTTTAAGAACTCATTGTCATTTCCCTATAGTATTTAATTCTGCTTTAGGTAGGTAGAATAACAACTTCTTTTTTTTTGCGTGGGAATTTCACAGTGTTTTGACTGATGTAGATGGAAGCGTTAACACTCTCCAAGTTTTTGATTAATGTCGATGTTTAGGGAAGCATCTCACCTCCAGCTATGTATTCGTTGATTTAATGTTGCTCACAGAGGGTCGGAGAGGTATTTCTATGAGTATACATTTCAGTTTTCGCAATAGGGATTTTCATTTCTTTGTAGAAGCTTGAAAATAAATGGGGCTGTCAAGTAAAAGAAGCAAAAAGAAAAAAAAACTGGGGTAAAGATGGAGATGAGAGAGAAAAAATATGATCATAAGAAATATATGTAAAAAAGGCGAGGGAAATGAGTAATGTAGAAAAAAGGAGTAACAATAAAAGAGAACAAAAATTTATTCCAAAGAGTCGAAAATATACATTAAAAAAACGAAATTAGGGAAGAAAAAAGGAATACAGGAAAGATGAAAAATGTTAGGAAAAATAATCAAAAAAATTTAGCAATAAAGAAGATTAAAGAATATGAAGAAATTAAGAACAAGAGCAATAATTTAATTCAGAAAAGCATTTAATAGAGAAGAAAAAAGCGTAAAATAATCAAGAATTGAGTAGGAAATTAACACAGCGCAGTCAAATCATGATGGTATTTGTCTTAAAGTTTAAAAATATTTTTTTGAATATAAAAAGTGTAAATAAAAAGAATAAAACCCTTGAAAGGGGAGCCATTAATTTAAATAATTTTCTTGCACCTGTATTTTGAAACTTATTCACAAGGTATACTGACACAGATAAACGAGCTTTAAATTATATAATAACAAGAATGTTGAATCTAAATTTTAATAACGTTCTTTCTCACAAAGTTGGACGCTGCATCATTCTACCATGATTAGACATAAAAGGCCAGGATATATTTCTAGTCTTAAGACCTTTATACTGTAAAACTACGAGATCTCTAAAATTTAAATGGCCTAACAGCTGCTGCAGTATAAACCGGCTTGTGCTGGCAACATCTGGGATTCTATAGGATTAAAAATATCTTTGCAAGCTTCTTTTGTAAAATTTTTAGCAATGACAATTTTTCCTACTTCTATAATTAATTTTTTACCTATTTATTTAGGCCATCTGTTAAAGATTTCCATCGTTGTTTCAAATTTCTTGAGGACCATTTCACTTACAATGATGATTTAGTATTTCCGACGGCCGTTTATCGGAAATATTGCATATAACCTATAATTCATTTCTTCAAACTCCAACTTCTTTTTAATCCCAGATTTTACAGAAGAAATCAGCGATTGAAATTTTTTTGTTGTTGTTGAAAATATTTTCATTCAACATTGAATAGGCTTCCGAAAAATATATTGTATTTGTATAAATATCTGTAAAATGAATTCTTCTTGATTTTAATTGTAATATTACAGTCATTAGACTACGATAATTACGCCTTTTTCGCCAACTGGCATTTTCTTTAAATATTCGCCCAAAATATCCCGGTTTTTAGAAAAAATATGTTTGTTAAAATATGTAACATTTGTTCAAAATTATTTCAAAATAAGGAAACCATTTTGTAGTTCTATTTGGTTTGTATTTGCATGTATTTGGGTATTTATACTGCCCTTTAAGTCCGCGATCTTTGAGTATTTTCTCCGCATACGCCTAAAAAAACCCTTTAATTGGTCTTAATTCTAGTAGGCATAAAAAACTYGAGGGGGGGTGATTTTGGTCCGTGATTCAAATTTTTTGATTTATGAAATTCTCTTTTTTCTTATCTACGTCAAAGATAGAAGATGCTTTGTTATTAAGTACTAAGTCATGGATAAAAACACACCATTTAGGCTCGTTGACCCCGGAGGAAACAGAAAGCGCTCTACCAATAGACGTCAAGCAAGAGTTCTTTATTTTAATCATAAATACACAATATAATGCGATTTTTAAATTGCAAGTGTCGTTGCTATCGTGCAGTAAAATCACCTCAAATTCGACCAAATTAACGAGCGCAACAAATTTCGGTCTCCGAATTTACGCGGTCTTTAATCTTCAAGTGATGTATAAGTGCTGTGCTGAAGTTAAAAATAGTCTAACTATTTACCACGGTTGTTAAGCATCCAAAATTCTTAAAAAAACTAGACTTTGATGTGAATAATAAATGCGTCAAATAGCTTCAAGCAGTCAGCTGGTTATTAGCCCTTTTTATTCGAGACTTTATTCATTTATCTTATTTACATTTTTTTGTATAGTTTCAGTGAAATCGTTTCTTAGTAGCGATGATAACTTTAATCAACTACAATAAATTCTTTTGTCGTTTTCCCTTTCAAACAACGCAAAGCTGTAGTCATTGCTGTGGTTGTGGTATACACAACGCTAATTTTATATGTACATATTTTGGCGTGAACGAGTTTGTGTAAAACCGTTTTGTGTTGATGTTCACTTTAATTCCAAATGTTATTTACAATTTTCAGCGTTTGTATCCTGTTTCGATTGATGAGTGTTACTAAGACTATAACCGAGTTAATTTCGATCATACATTTGAGTACATATGTATAAGTACGATTGTAATTTTTGTTTCTTTTAGTTCCATCTAATCTATTCCGATGTTTTGCTCTCTTGTATGTTTTATTCTTCCCTTTTTTCCTATTATTTTCTTCATTTCCACGAGATAAAGGTTAGCGGATAAGCTAGAAATATTTCGGTCTTCAGTTTTTGTTAGTGTATTACTTTAGGGTTGAATTACGGATCATTACAACCAAAGGCGGGCATCTTTTATCACCTTTGCTCCCCACGACCAATCAAAGATGTCATCTGTGTCCCGTTGTGGTTCTGTTTCTTCGGGCAGAGAGCTTTTCGGAAGTCGTGCTTGCCAATGATATAGAACAGTGGATTGGACAAGGACGTCACAAATCTTGGGTAGTAGAAGAAGACGTACTCAGCCCAGTGTGGCAAACGGAACAGATCTAGTTGTTCTCGCAGACTATAAAGAAAAAATGGCAGCCAGCAAATAACATAAACCAAGATCATGACCAAGAAAACGATGGCTGATTTCCATTGGGCCTGAATGTTGAAGGAGCTGTTCTTTTTCTGCAGTGGTTCACCGACGCCACGTGTAGAAGGCATGTTGTGTTTCTTCATCTGTTTTTCGTGGTATCGCACGATGATTATAATACGAACGTACGAATATACCATGACCATCAGCGGTAGAAGGAAGAATATTAGCAACGTGCTGACGAGGTAGATAGATGTTTTGCGCTTATATGTTTCCCAGGCTTGTTCCATTTCTTCATCTGACATCTCTGAAAGCTCTTCGTCGTTAGGCTGCCAGGAAAGTTGAATAAGCGAGACGAAGAACGAAGTAAGCCAGATCATCAAGATGGTTGTTTTGGCCACGGTGCGAGTGACTATCGTATGGTACCGTATTGCATGGACAATGGCGGCGTAACGATCCAGCGTCACTGCTAACAGGTGTAACACAGTTGATGTACTTGTAAATCGCCAACAGAGCATAGCTGTACGGCAATAGTCTTGCTGAGTAACGGCAGAGCAGATCAGATAAAAAGGGATGCCAAACAAACCCGTCAGCAAGTCGGAAATCGCCAAACTCACCAGGAATGTGTTGGTGATGGTTCTTAACCGTCGATTTCTCGCGAACAAAACTAGACCCAAACTGTTAGCGATGATAATAAAGACGGCAAGAATGATTGGAAAAGTATCAACAACTGCCTCAAATCCTTTAGCAGACTCGTCATGGTCTTCTTCCATTTCGTCTGTCTCTTCAATTTTGCTCGTATTATTCTCCATCCTTCTAAACCACTTTGACTAAAAAAAATTTGCCGCGAAAATACAGCTGCACCAATCGAATAGATACTGCTTGCTCTTCGCTGATCGTTTTTTAATGCCTACTTGATTTTCACCCGGCCGAAGTACTACTGTGTTAGTACTAGCCCTGACGTTTTTAAACTCGGCTCTTGAGTCGTCGGTTCTAATGATGCGCTAATGTAAACACTTTTGGCCGGTCCTCGATTTTCTTGGAGCACTGAAACTGCGGTCAAGTTCTTCGTTTAAGTCTCAAAGACCACAATGACTATTATCTCTAACATCCTGTTCGGAACAAAAAAATRATACCATTCATTAGTAGAGCTTGAGCATGCGTAGGAAAATTGGTCTTTCATCACGTACTAGGACACAGGAACCCCAACTTTGAGTTTTCTTTATTTAGATTTTCCGCTAAATGTTTGAAATTTTGGATTTTTCATATTTTTTTTTTAGCGCGGTCGCCATCAAGTGTAGGATAAGAATCGGCACTTTTGGTTTCACCTTGTCTATCGCTTTAAGTGGTTTGTTTGCTTTGCGTTATCGTTCGAGTCCCTAACACTATACCTCTTGAAAAATATATGTCTTTAAAGTCATATTGTTTTAGTGCCGTAGAAATTCAAATAATAATTAAAGAAAATGAATTGATAATAGTATAATAATAATAGTGTAATTACTTTCACTATGTGAATAAGCAAAAGATAAATTAAACAACAAAAGAGTGTGAACGTTTTTTGAAATTTTGCTTCTTTAAAAAGTTATTGAATTTCAAAATTGGAACCTCGAAAAATTTCAATGTCGGTTGATGTTTTACGCATAAAAGACAAAATACTCAAAATATCAAAAACCGCTCACACTCTTTTGTAGATTATGTTTTCCTTCTTCACATAGTGAAGTTCTTCTGGCTATACGCAATAACGCTATTTCCATTAATTTACCTCTACGGAACGTGCCCGATTTGTGTTTAAGGCTCGGCATTGTTTCAAATTAGAAAATCGCTTTCAAAGAATATTATTTTCGAAATCTTTGTTATACGACCTTTAAAACGATATATAGTGTTAGGGGGTTTTGTTAAACGTATATATATATATATAAAGAAAAAAAGAGCTATAATGATATCCTACAATAAAATAAATAAATAATAATAAATAAGGCAAACATGATTATTCATTTGTTAAACACCAAATATTGAACGATCTTTTGAATATACTTAAAAAATAATAAATTGACGAGAAATGAAAGCACAGGAAGATAACAAGATAATATTTTGAAAAGGGAGTATCTAAGGAAGTCTTCTGTAGAATCAATAGCAGAAATCATGTTACCAAGTCTACAATTAAGTATTTTTATAGATCATGCTAAAAAAAAATAGCGTATATAGGACATTGCGACTAAAATAGAGACCACAATGGCGAAATTAGTGCCACCCTTGCATTCTATATTCCCAAGAAAAAAAATTAAGCTATATGTGTTTATGAACAAAGTTGATACTAAAATGCTGAATTTTTTGTTAAATGGAAAATCATTTACAATATGTAGGTCTGTAAATTTAACGAAGCAAGCTCCTTTATGTTAATCATTTACTCAGGTGTTAAATGTTTGAATTTTTGAGTGATGAAAAATTTCTAATAACGAAGAGGGAATGAGCGAGTAACTAAACTGAATCTCTTGATAGCAGGTGGTTAGGGGGGGGGGGGTGCTAGGGGTAAGTAAATTGTTTATAAAAAGTTTGATGGCAACCCAGGAGGTTAAAATTTAGATCATAGATTCCCCGCAGCTTAATATTTTGGTCGGCTTTTCTATAATCTGTAGATTCAGCTCCAGTTGTTCTTAAGATCAAGCAATGATTGAGGAAGGTAAATAGACAAATGGCTTATATTTAGCCTCGCGAAAGCGCGCATCTGTGGACAGATGTTTTCGAAAACGACTTCGAATGCCCAGTCGTATCCCCCCTCGCTGCTCATTAAAAAGCGCATGCATTCATGACGAAAATCAACAGGAGTTGAATCTAGAGTTATATACAGATGAATCGCTCGTTTCATGCGAACAAAAACCACTCAAGTAGGAGTGGAGTGAGGATGGTTTTGCGCTGGTAATAGGCGCGGTAAGTGCGCATCTTACCGGCTGCAAATTTATCATCCACCCTTCGCTTTATTTCCATCTTGCTGGCGGCCTTGATTTAACTCGCCATAAAATGCACAATAGCTGAGATTTATCGAATCAACGTATGAAGCAGGAAAGCCATCTTTTGAGATTAAAAGCGCTAAAAAGAGTTTTCGATTTAAGAATTTTTAAAAGCGTCCGACTGACGTTTCTATCACAAAGGAACGACTCTTGTGTGTGCACGAATAGCAGCCTATCGACCCTGACTCAAGATTGTAGATATTCCTAAGGCGATTAAGAAAACTCTTTGACAAAAGGTGATTTCATTGATGGTTACCAGCGTCAGCCAATATGGAAAAGAAAGAAAAGACCTTAAACGACGCAGTATGTGATTTCGAAACGTACCAGTTTTCATTATGACATCTATAATCAATTATACCCATCATTTATAAATTTAAATCAATTGTAACTCTTAGCACAAATGTTTAATCTAACCTTCATTATAGCCGTTTGTTTCCGAAATATAAAAGTGCCGAGATAAAAACTTGATATTTGCTCTTTTTGGATCACAAAAACATTAAACTTAACGGCGGCATTCTTAGATCGATTCTTTTATTTTTTATATTCAAAGGAGATTATAACGAATTGAAAATGTCTGATATTCGGTATTCGGTGAATAAGTGCGCAAGTTTTCTTTTAACGGTTATTAAGAGTTATTGAGAGAATTAAAAGAAAGTTGGACTTACTTGCTGTAAGTGTGTACATAAAGCTTAAATACTAGCCTCTCGTCGCTGTAGACAAGCCATCCACTCGACTGCGCGACACCGATGCCCATCCTCTAGCTACTCTAATAAGATCATCCGTTACAAATAGCCAAGCATAAGCTCCTACTGACGTCACTCTTTCTTTCATAACCCGGCCTGTATCACTAATCAAGATATTTCAAGATATAATCAAGATATAATCAAGATATAATCAAGATATAATCAGAGAGGAACGAAGCCATTCAAGTGTTGAATCAGAGAATGATATTGCTCGTTCGTATAAATTAGTGAGCGAAAAATTTCGGAAGGTGAACAAATCTTCCTACTTCCTCTCTAATTTTTTTCTCTTTCTTTCCTGTTTTTCTTTCTGTCCTTTGCCCTTTTCTTCTTCTTTTTTCTTTCTTTCTCTTTTTTTCTTTCTCTTTTCTGTTTTCATTTCTGTTTGTTATCCGAATAATTCCCTAATCGTTTCCTTACTACAAAAAAAATTTTGAAAAGAAAAACAAACGAAGCAAGCTACCTTTATTTTTTGAATTTTCCCCCCGGTTTTATGGTTTCTGTCACTTCGGTCAAACATAACACCTCTGGCGGAATAACTCTTCGTTATAATCGTGATTTTTTGATTTAAAAAAAATATATAGTATCTACTTACGGTTTAGGTTGTGTTTAATCAGACTTTTTAAAAATTTCCCAGCTCAATTCGAGTGTCTCAAAGAACAAGCCAGTAACTCCTCGACTTTTATTTATTTTCATATTCTTTTTCTCTGGGTTTATAAAGCCGGAAGCACTCCTCGACTTTTTCTACGGGTGGTATTATCGCTTTTTGCGGAAAATTTTTCCTGCGTACGATATTATCAATCGCTCGCTCCATGAGACTGGTTCTATTTATAAAAAACACTTGTCAGATTGGCYGTTTTTCCGCAAAATCAAACAACTGTTTGTTAATCTGTGAATCCTGACGAAGGAAAAAAGTGAAAGAGTAAATAAATATTGGCTTGAGCTTTAATCGTTGTGTAAACTAAGCTATATTGACACCGTTTTATTATCAAATGTGGGCCTTGTTAATCGAAGGAAAAAATTATCTTTCATTTCAAAATTAATTTCAAATTTTTAGTTTTAAATTGAATTTTAATATTTTTTATTTTTGCTATGAGGAAGAGCTTTCAAGGACTCTTTGACTACTTCAAATTCAATTCAACCTTTTCTCATGCCTTTCGTGCCCCGTTTATATTTTCCTCAGTATGGGATTCTTTGTAATACATTAGCAAGCAAACTTGGCTCTTGTTTCTAACAGCTGGAAGATGATTCATTTGATTAATTAAGCATCTAAAAAAGCCTCTCTTTCTTTGACTTAGCTCCCTATTTTTTTAATCATATATTACGGGTAGCTCTCTTTATCCCTTTTGAAGCCATTCTTATCGTACTTCACTATAACTTTTCTTCTTATTTCTTCATCTGCTTTTTGTCCTCGAGTTAATGAAGGGTTAAAAGAATAYGATAATTTAAATCGTCTGATTCTAAAGTTTAATATATCTATTCTTCTAGATTAAATCTTATTAAGTTGAATACCTAGCTCATATTTTTCTATTTTGAAGTCTCTAAATAGAACAATAAAGTTTGTTTAGTAGACGAAAAAGATTACTGATTTAGTAATTAAGCTAGGTCGGGAGCGCGAGGACGTTTTCAGATTTTCATATGTTTTACACGTAAATCAAACTTGCAGCATATTTTGCTACAATAGATAGGTATTAAAGAGTTACCTTCTTCGTTCTTGGATTTCAGATGAGCGGGGAAAAGGGAGAGGGATCTAACTTATAATCATATTAAAAACAAGAAGAAGGGGGAAAAACGCGCCAAATTTGGAAGAGGAGGATGACTGAACGCTTGTCGAACATCAGGCTTTAGAAACATGATTATCTGTTGTTGTTTTTTTAAGATAAAAATAATTAAATTTCAAAGATCTGTGGTGTCGCTTCATTATATTCCTATCGGCTTTCCACATTCATTAGACATCTTTCACTTGTCTGCGCCTTGATAACGTCTGAATTTTCTAGCATTATCTGCATAACAATTCGATGTTTTCACACTGGGATAGGCCGAGCCAACAGCTGTTTGCGACTTTACATTTTTCTGCTAGAGAACTGATTTGCAGATTGTTTTATTATTCTTGATCTCATAGATAAACGATCTGCTTGGTAGGTGCGCATTTGAATTCTGAATATTGCATTCCTAGACCAAAGGGCATTTTGCATAGGTCTCGTTTATTTGAAATAAAAAGTAATTATACAGCAATTAACTCAGATGGAATACACTAAAAATAGAATAATAATTATTATTAATCCTTCTTTAGACAATGTCACTATGACCCACAAAACCCTTCCGTCTTGGAATGCACTATTCAGTATGCAGTATTCGTATTCAACCTTTTTAAAAATAGCTGTATGTAGAGAGAGAGGTTCACGATTGTGCGTTGACCAATGGCGGCTCTGGTTTTCAAAACACCTTTTCTGATAGATTTTAAAATAATAATTGTAAAAACCTTTTCTGAGATGGCGAACATGGTGCATTCTGGTCTAGCTTCGGGACCAACATCTTTTGCTTATCATGATGTTTGTACCAAAGCTACACAACAATATGCATTAGTCCTTTTTATCGAACTCAGAAAAGGCCTATTGTGCGACTAATAATAATAATAATATTAATATAATATAATAATAATAATTTTACAAACCGAAATTTAAAAGACGTGATCAGCCTATTTCTTCGAGATTTTTCTCAAAGATTTTTGTTCAAAAATAACCCGAAAACCTTTTACATTTTTTTTTYCTATAAGTTCAAAGAAAGATGAATCGAAAAATCTATAAAATATTCTTGGTACAATGTCTAAATATTCATCGAAAAAAGAAAGATTTACGGATTTGATTTATTCAGTTTTTCCTTTTCTTACAAGATATTTGAGAAGTAATTATGCAACAGCTAGCATAGAAATTGCATAAAGTCTATCGTATTGAACAGAACAAAGATAGATAAAAGTTTTTATTTTTTTCCGGTCCGGTATTCTAAAAAATCGTGCCTTCTGATTGGCTGTTTGAGCGGGCGGTATCTGCCCGCGCGCACTCGTGGTCTGTTATCCTTTCGCGCTAAACAACAAAACAAAAAGATTACAAAAACAAGTATAAAAACAATACGGGAAAAAATAAATGGGTACAGTTTTTCTCTATCCGGACCTTCTGGCCGGTAAATAACATACATCTATACGATGTGACGAAGTAAATACGGTAAGCCTTTGAGTGGTTTGAATCATATTTTTTCTTTGGACTTTGGACATTGCCTTTTTGAAGCTACCGCTTGGTTACTTTGACTTCACATTCGAGTCCCTACACACGCCAAACATTTATCGCTTGTTTTGTATTCAATGTGTTAATAAATGCAATAAGCCAAATTACTTATTCTGTGCTTTTTGTTTTTATGTCGTTATTTCTTTAAAACCAAAACAAGAGTTGGAAAACTAACACTTGCAAAAGGAGTAAACATAATCATTAAAAGCAGGATTTTGTATGTCGTGTGTCTCTTTCTTTTTCTCCTTCTTCACGTCTTTTCTTAAAACAAAGACAACAATTTCAACATTAAGATAATAATTATAATAAACAACTGTGTAGGGTAGAAAGAACTAAGTTCCGTTTAGTTAAAAATACAAAAACAAAATTGTTTTCAAATGTTACTGCAGTGGAGAAATACTTTACTAAGGAGATCTTTATTAAACGTCGTCTGAATATATACTAATATATTCAAAAAGTGATAAAAACAAAACAACTATGGATAACAAGGGGTAATTACAGACTAAAAGAATCGTATAAATAAAAAAGGCTTTGTTTGTTGAAAGTTCGACGCCTTGAGTGAAACGTGGAAAACGTGCCGAACTTGGTAACTATTAGATGGATTATCTTTATAAATTTAGATTTACTTTTCTTGTTAGAATAAAACTGGAATTTTCAAAACTAATGCATATTTATTCGAAAGATTAAATCTTTTAGGTAAGTCCTCAAATTTCCAGGAATTGTGGAYAAATTCCAGATCATTTCATTAAAAAACTTTACAAGCCTCTTATTTGCCTCGTTTTTTAACGAAAATTTGGTTTGAAATATCTCCTTCAGGCCTTGAAAAAAACATTTATTTACTTGAGGGATTATAGAGAATGCTTAGTTATAGCTGATATATGTCATGTTTTATCAAATCTACGCGTTTAATCCGCAATCCTTAAATTCAATACTTCAAAACGCGAAAAATAGCTAGGAAAGAAAAAAGTAGCGAGTTTGAGTCGCAAAACGGACAACGTTCTGCCCGAGAAATACAAATTAAAATTCAAGAAATGAGAAAAAAATACTTAAAAACCTTTTGTGCCTTCCATCTTGAAGGATTTACACCAGTTAATCTAAAGTGATATTTTAAGAATACATTTTTTTAGATGAATGTTTTAGGATTTTCTTTCTTTAAATCGATTGACAAAACAAATAATACTAATTTACTAAAATTGCACACACAAAAAATTGTAAAATGATAAAAAATATTTGTTAAAATGTTCCGGAAAGAAAAACTAAAGTCGTACATATTTTGAAATATAGTGAAAATAGGACTAAAGACTTACCAAATATTTAAAAATATATTTCCGTAGACTACTGAAGTGGTCTTTGAACAGACACTTTTTGGAAAGTTGCACGATTATACCATTCATATAAGAAATATTCATTTTGGCATGGTTTCAGAAATTATGCTATAACCTTGACCAATCAAAAACAGAACAAAAAAGATTCTATTGTTAATCAAGAGAATATTAACATCCGATTGTTCCTAACTTAAATTGGATTTAAAGCTTCGGATTAGAATTAAATAGTTATATCCTAAATTGGTTTCCTGCGATAAATTTAGATCTCTGTAGCTTTACTACCATACCAATCAAGTAAAAAATTTTAGGGTAATTTTATAGTAACGAACTTTCTTTTAAGAAAGTCGAATTTATCGAAATATTAAGGGTTTTTACTAGTTTTCTAAATTTGAAATTTGATTAATGAGAGGATAAGATTAAAACGAACAGGGAAACGCAGTTCGTAGCTTTTCACTCCCATTTTCTAGGATAAATTAGTGACTCACTCTTTTGGATTTGAAAGTTTTTTTATTACTTTGATTGATATATCATTAGTTATTGATGTGTTTAATTTTTTAGAAAATCGTTAAATTGTTTCACTTTCCAAACACGAAATCAAGATTTATGCGCAAAGAATATATATATAAATATATGAATGACCGAAAAACGTTTTTTAAACTTAGCAATACCAAACTCTAATCATATGAATAATTCAAAACACGTCCCAACACTTTTATCAGACAATAATTGCGAAAATCATTCAAGCACGTTTTTACACGTCTTTTTTTTTTTTTTTTTTGAGCTTGGTACCTTCTTGATAATTTAATTGAATCAATAAAAGCAATAGTTTATGAATTCTTTCAAATTAGACACGCGAAGGTTTGTTGCTCGAAAAATGTGCTAGTTATTCTACTTACTAGGCTATCAAAATAGARATCCTTATGTACATGATACGAGAATTTTGGAACATTGAAATGGTTTTGCTTCCAAATCACCCAATGACAAAACAACAAGGTATACGATTAAATATATAGAGGATATTACATGGGCGCTTGGAGATACGAAATTTATCTTCGAGTGTTGAAAAGATCTCTCACGAGTGAGCGCAGCGAACGAGTGAGAGATTTTCAACACGAGAAGATAAATTTCGTATCTCCAAGCGCCCATGTAATATTCTGTTTATTATATAATTATCAATGAAGTATGTTTTGGCTTTTTCAGGCAATTCTTTCCGATTATTTTTGAATAGCCATCGCAATGGTGTTATCTTCACACGTGAAAATAACATGTTATTTTCACGTGTGAAGATATCAATTTTTCGAAATAGAGAAAAATAGATATTTCATTGGTAATTATATAATAAAACAACTTCTTATATTTTGTACTTTAGAAAAAAGTTCTTATTATTGCTGCGCATGCGAGGGATTGTCGTTTGACATTAAGAGAGAATTCTTTTCGTATTCAAGCAGTGAGCGCCAAAAAACTATTTTCTTGAAGAAAAGCTGTTGTACAAGGTTAAAATCTTTTTATTCAGAAAGATTAACTTGTTTGGAAGTGGAGATGACCGATGAAAGTGGAATCAAAGTGTTAACCCGAGGCAAGGGTTTTATTCGAAAATGAGGTTTAGGCCTTCATTTGCTTATTTCCCATATATTTTCTATAAAACAGCCTAACAAAGCAACATTCTAACACAAATGCAACAAAACATCTTTGTGCAATTGAAAATACCGCTTCAAACAGCCATTTTATCATAGTACACCAGTTTCTAACTGTTTAAAAAAGGTTTTGAGTGTTAACCCAAAACGAAAATTGGGATCAAAACTCATACGAAAGTCTAGTTTTTGGCGCTTTTTGCCATTATTGCTCATTATTGAAAACAATTTCCCCTTCATATTTTATCTAGAAAAAGTATGATGGTTTTTAGTGCTTTCTTGGGTCATTAATGCCAAGGATTAAGCGGAAGACACTTAACACTACTCATTGAAAATCTCATTCAAAATGGTTCCCTAGTAGTAATTTGTTCCTTTTAGGTTTTTGAAGACAGCATGGTGTCCAGGAAATCTAGTCTAAGTTGTTAGGTCAACTGATAAATCACCTCAGTAATGGTTTTACAGAAAGTAATTTAGATAGACGTTCGGACTAACATCGAAGTCTAAAAAAATAATTCGAATCACAAACACCTGAAAATACCACAATATAGACTTTCAAGAATCCAGTAAATCGAAAAAAAAAAAAAAAAATTTCAACCGCTTAACAACACACACACATGGGTAAAAAAAAGTGTTTTAGTGTTCAAAATTTGAATGAAAAATTGCTGTCTAATGATTAAGCACGAAAATTACAACCGCAATTTTGTCCTAACCAATATATCAGAAATCTTTATGATTAATCAATAAAATAGTAGCGTTAAAATGAGACCAGAATAATGGCTTTAGTTCCTTATTTTTGCATTAATTTCTGATAATTCGAAAACTAATGCATCTAATTGAAGTTGTTTTTTCTCCGGCTAACATAATTTTTCGTGCTTTTCTTGACTTGAAGATAAAAAACATATAAAAAACTATAAATTAATGATATTTAGAGGAAATAAAGATATAGAAAAAGCTATGAAAAGCAGTGAAAAGGTTTTTTAGTTTGAAAAACACGGTAAAAAAGGAGAGAGAAATTTCGATGACAACCAATTTGCTATAAACTAAGATAGATGTTTTTTTTTTATTAATTTATTTTCTTTATTCCTTCTTTTTCTTTCAAACAGTAAACTTCGTCAAGAATTTCAATACTGGTACCCAGTTGACCTCCGAGTGTCCGGCAAGGACTTGGTGCCTAATCACCTGACCTATTACCTGTACAACCACACTGCAGTCTGGTCCAATGAGAAAGACAAGTAAGTCTATTGATTTTGGTAACCATGGGAACTATGTAATGTAAAACTGCTCACTTGGTAGCTAGGCTTTTGGGGGAGGAGAATGGTAAGAATTTTACATCCTATTTCTTTCCAAATCCTTCGCGTCCAAAGAGTAATCGGGTTAAAAATAGTAGCTGAAGCTAGCAGAATTTAAAACCATTTCACCGAGAAAAGCCTAAAATTTGCCTAAACAAAAATATTTTGTTTACTGACATGAGGTTTCTATTTTTCGACTCTTATTTAAATGAAAAACTATATAACGTAAACTGTCCAAAATTTCCAAAGAAAATAAAAGATTATTATGGTCTACTTTCCGTTCACACTAATTTTTTTTCTAATACCTTTTTAAAAGAAAAAAAAGAAGAAGAAAACAAAAAACAAGAAAGATTGACTGATAAAGCCGAAACAATTGTCTCATTATATCGTATTGAATTTTTGTTTGGGAAATAAATAATCTTAATCACCTTTCTTTATCACATCAATTTCGAACAAAAACCAAAATATTTCCAACTTTTTTCGCTTTTTGTTTTACACAATTTTGACTAAGAATCGTTATTGAATTTGAGGATCTGAATTTTGGGGTGTAAGAAGATGGTGTTAAGGGTTTTTAAGATTAAAGTTAGAGAGTGACCTGCAGTTTAAGTAATGTTCTTATGGATTTCTTTCGCTCTACTCAAAAGGGAGGCTTTTGAGCTGGGGTTATTCATGATGGCCGTAATAATTGCAGGTCCGAGGGCTTCCTCTAGACACGTTATTTCATTATTGCGTTTGCTATTGCATTTGGTATTAGGGAAATATACAACCTACATTGACCGTGAAAACACAACACGTTTTACAGACAAAAAAAATCTATTGAAACTCTCTCAATTTCTCAGACAGAATAGATAATTCTGTAGTAGAATAAGTTTTGTTCCTTGCATAGATTGAATTGGCTATCTAGGTTCTGAAAATGTGGGATTAAATCCCAACTCGTTCCAAAAGAAACGTTTCTTGAACCAAATGTTTAAGCCTGAACACCTTTTCTTGTTTAGTAGTTAGTTAAGACACGTCAGTCAGTGAAGGTAGCTGCTGCTTTAACATGTAATAAATGCAAAGCTCAAGAATTCAAATTCATAAAAGAAGTCCACAGATAAACTTGAGACATTTGCACATTTATCTATCTAGGAATAACCCACCAGTACTATATATAACTAACTTTGATTTTTCTAGGTTTTAGCTGTTGAGTGAGCCTATTGTTTGCATATCGACGTTTAGGGAAAAAAACAGCTCGCTACTGATGTATTTCGGTCGCGCCTTATGCACAAACACGCCTCCCAGTCGACACACTACAACCAAAACTATTTAAAATAAACCAAGTATTTTCCAAATCATTTTTAGCTTACTTAATTCTAAGCTGTCCTCCTCTCTTTTTGGGGTCCAAAGTTCATCAGCCAATACAGCACACTACTTGGAGCAGAGCGGCAGATATATGTAATCRGAATAAAGATTACAGTCAGTTAACTCAAGTCATAACACAATGTATGATTTATTCTCCAAGAGGATAAGAGTATATTTTGAGTTTGAAGACTTGCTCTCGGAATTGAAACGAGAGTTCACTTAGCGTTGTCACTTGCTGTGTGTGAATCTTACAAGAATAATCGTCCTATCGGTCAAGATATCCTGGAATGATTTTTAAACAAAGCAATAGTCGAAGTTCATGACAAGTTACGGAAGTAATTTGCGTTTATATTGAAACCTTAGTAAGATTAAAAAAAAAAAAAAAAGTAAACAGAAATGTCGGCAAAGGTACAAGAATGAGGCCAGTGAGGATCATGGGAAGCCAGTGAGGAAGCCCACTTTTATTAAATACAATAATCGAAAGAAATTGTCTCTTATTCGCCTGTATTCCTTATGATTACAAATTGAATTGTACGGAAAACGTTAAACCTCGGAAGAATTGATAAAAAATCTAGATGTCGATTCAATTGCTTAATGTATATTAGAACGCCGCGATATAAATATTCGTTTTTTTTCTCGAAAGTGTAGTGTGTATAAACAGTGGGTAGTCCTCATACTAAGAAAGCAGACAAGAAAACGAGGGATGTCGATATATCAATGTAGGAAACGTACTGACAGACGGAGAACGGAATTAGCGAACGGACGTGGAACCGAACGAACAAACGAAACGAGCAAAAAGGACGAAAACAGGCGAGAAAATGACGAGGGACGAACGAAATCATCGAACGTACGCGAAATACGGAACAATAAAAACGAAACTAGCAAACGCATTAAACGAGGGTAAATGACTGGATATAAGGACAAACGAGCTAACGCTAATTATGTGGAGCTCGTAGTTTTATGACTCATGCAAGATTTGTAAACACTATTTCTAACACTACTATATTCACTATTCTATACATGCATGCATATCCTACTGAGTTCGCGTGTTGATTTTCAACAGGGAAAATCGAAACGAATTAAAACGGGAATAAACGAAGAAATGAGGAAAAATTCTTAGCTGAAACCGTTCTAAATTATAACCCAAAGATGTGCTAATAACCGCAAACAGACTAATGATAGAAACTTTAGAAAAAAATAATTCATAAATTATCGATTTACCTCATGCAGAAAGGAATCCTATCAGTTGGTGGGTTGAGGTGAAATGCAGCTTGTACGAAAATCTTTTCTATTGCCCAACATGTTCTTGTCAAACGCCTTATGGCTTGACATATAGATATTGCCTATCTTACCAACCAATCAATCAACCGTCTAAGACACTTCAAATGGTAAAAAAACAACCAATTTGTTGGCAAGAAATTAAATTTCCCAACTGTGAGTAGCCGTAATTGAAAGTCTCGTTATTAAAAAGTGCCGAAGTGTCAGTTCCTTCGAGCAAGGTGTTAGATAATTTAATAAACTCGAAAAAAGGCGTCAGTTGAATTGGCGAGTTTACGTGGACCTTTTCCAAGTGATTAAGATACTATAATTCCAGAAAATTACGACACAATAGGATTACTAATGTTATAAATTAAAGATAAAATTATTGAATATAAAGAGAAATTGGTTTTTCATGTTCCCATTTATAATTTGTTACCTTTAATCGTCCATGGTATGCCTATGGGTGGAATAATTGCTCCACATGTTTACTTTGCTTACTTAATATACAGTTTTCGCCTGTGGTCTTTATCGCCTACATGAATGATAACGATGTTGAATAATGATCAACAAAGCCATAACTCTTAAAATAATTCACACGGATTGTTTTTTTGTTGGTTTTTTTT